TTGGGGCGTCTGGAGCGGGTGGGGGGCGCGCGCAGTGGGGAGGACTCTCGCCGCCGGAGCGCGGCCCGGTCCGCCATTTTGTCCGCCTTCCTGGGGGGCGGGATACGTGAGGCGGCGAGTTCTCCTTGTAATCAATAAACGCTTGCTTGCTTAAACCATCTATGAGTCGGTAGTCTGTCTCTGGGGGACTCGCTCTGTAACATTTAGAGGCCCCTGCGAGATACCCACGGGGGTCTCGGACCCCCGCAAGCAAGCAGCCCGGGTTCCTGTCTCCTGGCCGCGGCAGCTGACCTCGGACGTCCCAGCAGCATTGGTGAGTTAACCGGCTGGTTTCTTTCTGTCTGGCGAGCGCTCATAATTAGTGACAAGGTGGCAGGACGCCGCCGGGGACCCTGTCACAGCCAACGAGGTGACGACCTCCGAGGCTCTGGTTATATTTGTGGAGCGTGAATGAGCTTGGACGTGCGGCCGCGGGTGATTCCTTTGGATGTTATGTGAGTTGTCTTCTTCCCTTGATCTCTGTTTTCGCCCATGTCTGTGCGTGTGAAGGACTCAGTCAGAAGAGTTGAAATTTATAGGATCTGTGTTGAAATTGTTCTACCGTGTCTATTTTTTATTGGATTCGCCTGTCTTTGCTTAACCTCGATTTTCATTACAGTGTCGAGAGGCAACATGGGGCAGACTAATGAAAAGGCGAGTCCTTTGTCGCCTCTAGAATGTATAATTAAAAATTTCTCTGATTTCAAAAAACGGGCAGATGTTTACGGTGCCCCGGTTGATGCTTTCACTCTGAGGAAATTCTGTGAGCGGGAGTGGCCAACATTCGGCGTTGGGTGGCCCTCCACTGGGACTCTTGACATGGCCATCTGTGCCGGAGTCAGACAAATTGTTTTCGGAGACCCGGGACATCCCGACCAAATGCAATATATTGAAGTATGGATTGATATTCTATGGGATAATCCTAAATACCTCCGTGACTGTGGTTGCGTCCCTAAGAGGAAATCGGGACAGAGACCACCCAGGTTGGTTCTTTTGGCTAAGCCCCAGGGGAGAGAGAAACCAAAAAGCCCCCTGGCTACTCCCTCGGCCCCGCCGATACTGGAGGTGCCGGAGGATGAGGCCCCAACTCGACCGCCCCCACCTCCTTATGCGGCTGCCCCGAGACTGCCGCCGATTCCCCTGAAGGGAGTCTCTATCCTCCCCTTCGAGACAAGCGGGAAGGAAAAGAGTCTCTAAGCCCCGATAGTACCTGGGAAGGTTCGGGGCTGGGAGGAGAAGTGGGGCCATTGAGTCTGCCCCATACCAGGGCTGGAACCCCATTTGGCACGGAGAGACCGGCGACCCAGCTGCCTCTCAGAGAGACGGGAGAGGTCAGTGCGACGGGGCAGCCTCTCCGAACTTATGTCCCCTTTACCACCTCAGACGTGTACAATTGGAAAAACCAGAACCCCCCGTTCTCCCAGAACCCCCAGGGGCTGATAACCTTATTGGAGTCGGTCTTTTACACCCACCAGCCCACTTGGGATGACTGTCAGCAGTTGTTGACTACTCTGTTCACCACCGAGGAGAAGGAGAGAATTAAGAGGGAGGGGAGAAAACAGGTTTTAGATGCCAGGGGGGAACCTACCACGGATGAGGATAGGGTGGCGGAAGTTTTCCCCCCCACTCAGCCCAACTGGAACCCGAATTCTGCATCCGGGAGGGAGGCTCTAGACCATTACCGCCAGGTTCTGCTAAGGGGTATTCGGGCGGCGGCCCGAAAACCCACAAATCTGTCTAAGGTGACCGAGACTAAACAAGGGCCTAACGAGAGTCCCGAGGCTTTCCTAGAAAGGCTCTGTGAACCCTATCGTACTTACACTCCCACAGATCCAGATGCCCCGGACAACCGCGCGGCCCTTGCCGTCCAGTTTGTAGGACAGTCAGCCCCTGATATTAAGAAAAAGTTACAAAAGATAGAGGGTTTCGAAGGGAAGTCTCTCACTGAGCTGTTGGCCATTGCCCAACGAGTATTCGAAAACCGGGAGGACCCTACCCAGGCATTAAATGAAAAAATGGCGAAGGTCCTCGTAGCCATGGAAGAGAGAGGCCGGCCCAAGAAGTCTAGGGAAGGAAGGGGCAAGCGGCAAGGACAAGGGAGAGGGAAGCCTTTAGAGCGCGACCAGTGTGCCTACTGTAAGGAGAAAGGACATTGGAAGAATGAATGCCCAAAAAGACCGGGAGCCGGCGGGGCGACCCCCCTCTTGGTAGAGGAGGTGGACTGATGACGTCAGGGCTCCCGAGCCCCCGCCCCCCCGGAGCCCCGGGTAACGCTTAACGTGGGGGGAAAACTGGTAGACTTCTTAGTTGATACCGGAGCAACCCACTCTGTGCTCCTCGCCCCGGAAGGGCCCCCGTCAGCCCTCCGAACCACCATAATAGGGGCAACAGGGAAGCCTAAATCTTACCCGTGGTCACAAGCTAGGATCACCAGTCTGGGGCAAGGGACAGTCACCCACTCCTTCCTTGTCATACCTGAATGCCCGGAGCCCTTACTCGGCCGCGACCTGCTGCAAAAATTAAAGGCCACCATCTTCACGGACGAAGGACCAGAGATTCGCACAGGCGAGGGAAAAATTCTAGTCACTTTTCCCTTGGAGAATGAGTATCGACTTCATGTCAGCCCACCCGTGAACCCCGAGTCAGACCTCCTATCGTTATGGCAGAAGGAGGTTCCCGAAGTTTGGGCCGAGGCCAACCCGCCTGGACTTGCAAAGCACAGACCCCCAATCGTGGTCCAGTTGCTGAGCACAGCACTCCCCGTCCGGGTCCGCCAGTACCAGATTAGCAGTAAGGCCTGGGCTGGAATCTCCAAACACATCCAGAGACTGAAAGAGGCTGGGATACTGACCCCTTGTCGGTCAGCCTGGAACACCCCCCTCCTTCCAGTCCAGAAGCCCGGTACCACTGACTTCAGGCCGGTGCAGGACCTCCGAGAGGTGAACAAGAGAGTAGAGACCATTCACCCGATGGTCCCAAACCCATATACTCTACTCAGTCTTCTAAGACCTGATCAGAAGTTTTACTCGGTCTTAGACTTAAAAGATGCCTTTTTCTGTCTGCCAACCTATCTTCGCCTTTGAGTGGACAGACCCCGAGAAGGGAGAATCAGGACAGCTAACGTGGACCCGGCTCCCACAGGGGTTCAAGAACTCCCCTACCCTTTTTGATGAGGCCCTCAGTCAGGACCTCCAAGGCTTCCGTGCAGACCATCCCGAAGTCACCCTCCTCCAGTACGTGGATGACCTCCTGCTCGCCTCTACCACCCGGGAGGAGTGTTAGGCGGCCACCAGGAGCCTCCTAGAAACCCTAGGACGGCTCGGATACCGGGTCTCGGCAAGAAAGGCTCAGCTGTGCCAAGCGGAGGTCACATACCTCGGATACCGCCTGCGAGGAGGAGAAAGAACCCTGTCTGACAGCCGAATACAGGCCATCCTGCAGATCCCAACTCCGACCACCAAAAGGCAAGTACGGGAATTCCTGGGGGCGGTAGGCTACTGTCGACTCTGGATCCCTGGCTTTGCAGAAATAGCCAAGCCCCTGTACTCGGCTACCGGGGGAGTAGACTTGACCCTTCGCTGGGGAGCAGAGGAGGAAGAAGTCTTCCAGAGGCTGAAGACGGCTCTGGTGAGTGCCCCAGCCCTGACTCTCCCGGACCTCGAGAAGCCCTTCCATCTGTTTGTAGCTGAAGCTCGGGGAGTAGCTAAGGGGGTATTGACCCAGACCTTAGGCCCCTGGAAGAGACCTGTAGCGTACCTGTCCAAGCGGCTGGACCCTGTAGCAGCAGGCTGGCCTGGGTGCCTTCGGGCAGTAGCTGCAACCGCCATTCTAGTGAAGGAAGCCTCCAAGCTCACGTTCGGGCAGAACCTTCAGATCACAGCCCCTCATAACGTTGAGCAATTGCTGCGGGCACCCCCGGACAGGTGGTTATCAAACGCCCGGGTGACCCAATACCAGGTCCTACTCCTCGACCCCCGAGGATAAGTTTCCTGCAGACGGCTGCACTGAATCCAGCCACTCTGCTGCCTGACCCAGGGGAGGGGACTCTGGTACATGACTGCAGTGAAATCCTCACCTCTCTGACCTCGTTGAGAACAGAGCTCAGAGACATCCCCATCCCCCAGGCGGACGCTACCCTCTTCACGGATGGGAGCAGCTTTATAGAAGAAGGTATCCGGTACGCTGGAGCTGCAGTAGTAACCTTAGAGTCTGTTATCTGGGCACAGGCCTTGGGACACGGCACTTCGGCACAGAAGGCCGAGCTGATCGCACTAACCCAGGCCCTCAGGTGGAGCAAGGGAAAGAAGGTTAATATCTACACCGACAGCAGATATGCCTTCACTACTGTCCACGTGCATGGCGCCTTGTACCAGGAGCGGGGCTTACTCACAGCCGGGGGGAAGGACATCAAGAACTCACAGGAGATCTTAAGTCTCCTCTCCTCCATATGGGGCCCCGAGAAAGTGGCAGTCATTCACTGCAAGGGACATCAGAAAGGAGATTCAGACATAGCAAAAGGAAACCGGTTAGCGAACCAGGCCGCCAAGGAAGCAGCGAAAGGGGCTATTCGGCCCATTGAGGTCTTAGCAGCTCAGACAGCCGACCCAAGTCCTCTGAGGAAGAAGAAGAGTGGGGACAGCAACTACAAGGAACAAGGAACTCAGGCGGGTGGCTCCAGCTAGCCGATGGAAGAATCATCCTGCCCCAGGCAGTAGGGAGACAGGTGGCGGAGCACACACATCGAGCCACACACCTAGGTGGGGTCAAGTTAGCTGAGCTCCTAAGGAAGAAGTACCTGGTTAAAGGACTAGACCAGTTAACCCGAGATATAGCCAAGAGATGTCGTGCCTGCGCTTTAGTCAACCCCAACCCAGTCCCAGTGAGAGGACCGAGGACCCGGCTCAGGGGCAGTGCCCCGGGTGAACACTGGGAGGTAGACTTCACCGAACTTCCCCCGGCGCGGGGGGATACAGATACCTCCTTGTGTTCGTGGACACGTTCTCCGGGTGGCTGGAAGCGTTCGCAGTGAAGAGAGAGACTGCCCAGGTAGTAGTAAAGCAATTGATTTTTGAAATTCTGCCCCGATTCAGCTTACCTATCTACATGGGGTCTGACAATGGGCCGGCGTTCATCGCCAAGGTCACCGAACAATTGGCAACTACCCTAAAAATTAAGTGGAAACTCCACTGTGTCTATCGGCCACAGAGTTCAGGACAGGTAGAAAGAATGAATAGGACAATAAAGGAAACCTTAACCAAGTTAAAATTAGAAACTGGCGGTGATTGGGTGAGTCTCCTCCCCTTTGCCCTATTGCGGGCTCGATGTACCCCTTACCTTGAAAAATTCACCCCTTATGAAATAATGTTTGGGAGACCTCCTCCCGTCCTGCCCCGGGTAGGGGAGGAGATCCTAGGGGGAATAACTAACAGGAACCTCCTTAAGTCTCTACAGGCGTTACAGCAGACCAGGGAAGAGGTCCACAGGCTGGTCCGCCAACCAAGGCCAGAGGCAAAGCCACAATCCAGGACTCCGGTGGCCCAACCTGGGAGTCTCGTCTGGATCAAGAGATTAAACCCTGGGCAGTTAGAACCGAGGTGGGAAGGACCCTTCATTGTTGTTCTCAGTACTCCTACAGCCGTCAAGGTAGCTGGAAAGCAGCACTGGATACATCACACCCGGCTGAAAAAGACACCTGAAGAACTACCAGGGGACCAGGAGAAATGGCAGATCAGCCCGACCGACGACCCACTCAAGGTCAAGTTAACCCGGGTGGGGAAAGAATAATAACGTTACTACTCCTATTGGCGACTCTGCCCCACCCTTCAGAGAGTGGGCTAGGGCCCCCACCCAATGCACAGGACTTAGTGCGGGCACTTTATGGGAGCCCTTGTGACTGCACGGGAGGGAGTACGGGAGTGACTCCGTCCCAATACTCCCAAACAACTGATTGTGGCAGTAGAACAGCCTACTTAACTTTTGAGACTTTGAAGGGGGACGGATTTAAACAGGGATGGAAATGTGTCAGTAAACCTAAAATCATACTGCCAGTGAAGGGCAAACCCGGACCGTGCCCTTCCGACTGTCAGATGGCCACAGAAATGCATTCCACTTGCTACCGGGAGGTCCAGCATTGCACCCATACAGATGGGAAAGTCTATCTAACTGCCATCCTGCAGAGGACGTACTCTGGTTCTTTCGGAGGGGACTGGGACACTAGCAGTAGCCAAGGGTACTCCAAGCTCGCTCAGGCCTCCTGCCGAGGCAATCTTGGCCAGGCTAGCTGCTGGTCGCCACGTGCCCCAGTCCACGTATCTGATGGGGGGGGACCCACTGATCGGGTTAGAGAAGCTGAGGTACAAGAACAGATAGAACAGATGATTCACTCCTTGTACCCACCCCTCCGCAAGCCCAGGGACATCGATCTAGATGCCCAGACCTCCGACATCTTAGAGGCTACCCTCAGAGCTCTAAATGGCTCTAACCCGTCACTGGCCGCAGACTGTTGGCTATGTATGACTCTTGGGACAGCCATGCCCCTTGCCCTCCCCGCCGGGAATTCTTCCATACAGGAGGCTGGAAGCTGCAGCCTCACCCTTCCCTTCAGAATACAGCCCGTAGGGTTCAGTACCTCCCCATGTTTTAGGGGGCTGTTCCAGAACAATAGCTATGACTTAGATGTAGGGTATCAGACTTTCTCCGAGTGCACCCAGGTCTCAAACCACTCCACACCCCTCTGCCCAGCCCCTGGGCAGGTTTTTGTTTGCGGGGGTAGCCTGGCCTTCACAGCCCTACCTGTCAACTGGACAGGATTATGCATACAGGCTATTATCCTCCCCGATATAGACATTATCCCAGGTGAAGAGCCCGTTCCCCTTCCTAGTCTTGATTACATAGCAGGACGCAGTAAAAGGGCTATCCAATTTATTCCCCTACTCTTAGGCCTAGGAGTTTCGGGTGCTGTGGCATCGGGCTCCGCAGGACTAGGAGTAGCTGTACACTCCTATACCAAGCTTTCCAATCAGCTAATTGATGATGTTCCAGCCCTCTCAGGAACTATAAATGACCCCCAAGACCAAATAGACTCTCTAGCTGAAGTCGTCCTCCAGAACCGGAGGGGGCTCGACTTACTCACTGCAGAGCAGAGAGGGATCTGCTTAGCCCTACAGGAACGCTGCTGCTTCTATGCCAACAAATCGGGAATCGTCCGAGACAAGATCAAGAAGCTCCAGGAGGATCTAGTCAAGAGGAGGAAAGAACTGGTCGACAACCCCTTATGGAGCAGCTTCAACGGACTCCTCCCCTATCTACTTCCCCTTTTGGGGCCACTACTTGGACTGGTACTAATGTTAACTATAGCCCCCTGCATTTTTAGGTCGATAGCTAACATGATTCAAGCTAGGACTCAGGACCTTAAGATCCCTGCTCTCCGTGTCCAGTACCAAAATGTTGCTATAGACAAGGAGAGTGAGAGCGAATCAAAGGTTTGATTCGCCTGTATGAGGAGTGGGGAATGAGATAGAAATTACAGGGTGGGGGGCTCAACCAGGGTGGAAAAGTACTGAACATAGCTTGTAACTTAAGTCAGACCTAGGGGAAAACCAGACTTGAAAAACAAGTCCAAATAAGGGTGGCATCTGGGGAAAGAAGGAAGCTGAGCGAAGCCTGTCAGGGAGAAGAATAGCTTTAGCAGGAATTCCGCCTGGCCCTCGCCCGGGGGCGGGCTGTTAGTTTAGTAGCCAACCAATAGGAATAGGACAGATCAGCCAGGGTCGGGAGGGTGATAAAAGGAGGGACGGCCCCTCCGCCCTTCGCCCGGCGATTGCCTGCTGCTGTGTCAGCTAACGCAGGGGCCCAGATCCGGATCTGTAATCAATAAACGCTTGCTTGCTTAAACCATCTATGAGTCGGTAGTCTGTCTCTGGGGGACTCGCTCTGTAACACTCCTGAGCGCCCCCTACAGGGGATCTAGTCTGCAACCCGGGCATGTGCCCTTGACCAGTGAATTGAACGGTGACCTCCTGGTTCATTAGTCCATGCTCAACTACTGAGCAACACTTTTTCTTTTTTTTTATGTTTTATTGATTTTTTTTTGTTATGCCCAGATTTCAGGGTCCCCAAAAGACCACCAGGGAGCGCCGAGTCCAATGCAAAAGCAGAGTCTTTATTCAAACTAGCTTGCGCTCCGACCCCCCCCCACCACCACCACCACACACACACACACACACACACACACTCGCCGTTGCAGCGGCTGGGGCAGAGAGAGAGCCAGCTCTGGGGAAAGGGGTTTTATAGTAAGGGGAGGAGAGAGGACTGTGGGCCCTGCCGATTGGCCAGGCGCAAGTCAGTGTCTTGTTACACAGGATGTGGTTGTATCTGGCGCCCACTTCCCTTGATTATCATTGGTTAGTTTAAAGAAATCCTAGGTGTGGCTAGCAGAGGTTTGGGCTTCCCGGAAGAAGCTCCTTGCTGAGCACATGGCTGCTGCCCAAAATGGAGGATTCCCGGCAAGATGGAGGGCGTAGCCCTCACCCTTTCATTTTTTACAGAGAGGAAAGGAGAGGGATAGAGAGTTAGAAACATCGATGAGGGAAAAACATTGATCAGCTGCCTCCTGCACACCCCCTACTGGGGATGTGCCTGCAACCAAGGTACATGCCCTTGACCGGAATCGAACCTGGGGCCCTTCAGTCTGCAGGCCGCAGCTCTATCCACTGAGCAAAACCGGTTAGGGCTGAGCAACACTTTTTACTTTTTATTATTGAAATATTCAAACATATAGGAAATACACATAATCTTGATATTTGAAACAAGTCACATGTTTGTGTTATTTGCACTTAAGTGTTATTTTTTTCGGCACTTAGTGTGTCGAAAGTAAATTCATTTCATCCAAAGTAGTTGCCACTTACATTCCTGAAATAATATTTTCTACTTAATGACAATGCCCTTGTCACCCCTAATGTTTCCCAGTCTCTTAAGTGCTGTTGGTGTGGTCTCAATCCCTGAAGGTGGGTGGCCTTGGGGCCTGGTTGCCGAGGGACTGGGGCTCCCATGATGTTCAGCACTGGGTTCCGATCACCCCTGAGGACACAGTGCTCCTGAGACCTTTAACACATGGGGGTCCAAGTGGTCCCCCAGGCTGTTTCTTTACATACTCTCACTAAGTCCTTCCTTGTTGCAGGTGTCTCTTCAAGCTGAGGGGCCACCCACCACCACCCCATCTTGGTAAGAATCCTTGCTCCCACTCCCTGACCCACCCAGGTCTAAAACACCTGCATTTCTGGTGACTTCTCATCAGATATCTCTGGGACCTAATTTATATGTGAACAGTCATGCTCAGTATTTACATACAAATCCCAGCTCTGCTATTGGTGGGATTGAGGTGTTAGTCAAGTGATTGTACTCCTGAGCCTCAGTCTCGGTTTCTGTGTCTAGCATCTGACAACATATCAAGAGCAGAGAGGTTGTCCTCTCATAGTTGCAGGGGAGGGAGGTGGAGGCAGGGCATGATATATCCTGCCTTTGAAAGGAAGGGTTGAATATAGTGAAATGCACAGGCTGTGAAAGGAAGAAATATACATATATTTTTTGGGTTTGGGGGGACTAATCAAATATCCAATTTTCAGACTTAGAAGAAAAGAAACAGTGGCTAGCAGTTAATACTGTCACTGGTTTCTAGGCTGCATATAGTATATCAGCCAAGTTGAGACAGCTTTCCATGAATTGTGTGCATATAAATTTATAGTCAATAAAGTTACCCTCTACTGACACACAGCTGTTAAAATGACAGTGCACCATGGCAGATATTTCACAAGTGTTTCAAAGACCTAAGTCGTAAAATGGGCCTGGATACAGGTTACCCAAAGAGGAGCAAGTGTTCTAGGCTCTAGGAGGGCTTTCCCTCTGTTCCCTGTTCTTGGATCTTACAACACTTGCTGGCAGGCCCTTTAGGGAGGAGATAATGAGAGAAAATCATTGATCATTGATTGGCTGCCTCCTGCACCCCCCCCCCCCCCCCCCACACACACACACACACTGGGTTTCAAGCCCACAAACCAGGCATGTGTCTATGATCAGGAATCCAACTGTGACCTCCTGGTTCATAGGTTGGCACTCAACCACTGAGCCACACCAGCTGGGCCCAAATTGTCTTTTGAGGGGCTGATGCTCTTCACCCTAAGTGCCCTCTGAGAGGGAATTTCTGGGAAAGCATGGAGGGAGGGAGGGAGATGCCATCTCTGAAATCAATATATATAATTTTTAAAAGGGCATGGCTCCACCTCTGCCCAGGCCCTGGTCCAGGCGCATGCAGGAGGCAACCAATCAATGTGTTTCTCTCCCATTGATATTTTTCTGTCTTTCCCTCTCTCTTCCACTCTCTCTACAAATCAATGGAAAAATATCCTCAGGTGAGGATTTAAAATATTAATAATTTTTAAAATAAAATAAAGGCAGTTACCCTGGCCAGTGTGGCTCAGTCGGTTGGGCATTGTCCTGTGCACTGAAAGAAAGGTCATGGTTCTATTCCAGGTCAGAGCACATGCCCAGGTTTCAGGCTCAATTCCCAGTAGGGGGCGTGCAGGAGGCAGTCGATCAATGTTTTGCTCTCACAAATAAGTTTCTCTCTCAAAATCAATAAAAATATATTTTAAAAATACAAATAAGAAAATGACGGTAAGTGCAGCAGCTGGAAAAAGAAAAGTGTTTTTATAAAACTTACTAGAGGCCCGATATGCGAAATTCATGCAAGAGTAGGCCTTCCTTCCCCCGGCTGCCAGCACCAGCTTCCCTCTGGCACCAGGGACCCAGGCTTCCCTTACAGCCTTGGCTTCATCTGGAGGTCATCCGGAAGGACATCCGGTCTAATTAGCATATTATACTTTTATTATTATAGACTAGAGGCCCAGTGCATGAAAATTCATGCACTGGAGGGGAGGTCCCTCAGCCTGGCCTGCTCACAGTCCAGGTGCCCTCAGGGGCGGGAGGCAACCCAGCCATCAGGGGAAGGTGACGCCCCCATCACACCTCTGCTGCTGCCACTGCCGGCAGTGCAAGCCTTGGCCAGCCCTGGTTACCTGAGCCTTGGGTGACCCTGGGCGGCTGGGCAGCCAACATCCAAGGCTTGCCTGCACCTTGAGCCATCCCTGGGCAGCTAGGGGACTGAGGGCGGATCCGGCCTCACTGTGAGCCTGGCACCCCCGGTGGGTTTGAAAGGACTGGGGCCTCCGGCAGGGCTGAGGGAACTAGGTTTAGCCATCTTGTGGCTATGGGCGCCGCCATCTTTGTAACGGTGTGACAGCCAATTTGCATATTCTGTATTTATTAGATAGGATAGGTAAACTTGGTGTAGCACTTAATATGTGCCAGGCAGTGTTCTCATTCCTTTAGGTGTTTTAGCTCACACATTAACAGCTTACGAATTGGTACTGCTATTACTGCCATTTTTAGAAATGTGGAAACTGAGGCACAGAGAGGTGAAGAAATGTATCCAAGATCACCCAGCTACCAAGAGGTTGGACTAGGATTCGAACTAGGCACTCTGGCGCCAGGCTCCGGGCTGTCTCCTGTTGCAATGCTCAAAAGCAATGAAGAGCCCTAGCCGGCTTGGCTCAGTGGATACAACATCAGCCTGCAGACTGAAGGGTCCCAGGTTTGATTCCAGTCAAGGGCACATGCCTGGGCTGTGAGCTTGATCCCCAGTAGGGGGCGTGCAGGAGGCAGCCGATCAATGATTCTCTCTCATCATTGATGTTTCCCTCCCTCTCCCTCTCTGAAATCAGTAAAAATATATTTTAAAATATATTTTTGAAAAAGCAATGAAGAGACCAACAAGGAGGCAAAATGTTCCTGCTAAAAACCTCTTGTCATCTTTTCTGGAAAAACAAATTGTTAAGTGAGAGAGAGAGAAAATGATGGTGTTTTCAGCCACCTAGTGATGAGGCAGGCGGGCTTTCGGTCAAGTATAGTGCTCACCTTCCAAAGCATATGACAGTCCTATTTCCTTATGAGCCAGAAAGAACTCCAGGAGCCCTGGCCAGTGTGGCTCGGTTGGCTGAGCATTGTCCCAGGCGCCAAAAGGTCACGGGTTGAAGTCCCGATCAGGGCACATGCCCAGGTTGCTGGTTTGCTCTCCAGTGAGGGCCATGCAGGGGGCAGCCAATTGGTGGTTCTCTCTCATCGATGTTTCTCTCTCTCTCTCAAATCAATTAAAAAAAAAACATATTTAAGCCTAACTGGTTTTGCTCAGTGGCTAGAGCATCGGCCTGCAGACTGAAAGGTCCCAGGTTTGATTCCAGTCAAGGGCATGTACCTTGGTTGCTGGCACATCCCCAAGATGGGGGTGTGCAGGAGGCAGCTGATCGATGTTTCTCTCTCATCGATGTTTCTAACTCTCTATCCCTCTCCCTTCCTCTCTGTATAAAATCAATAAAATATATATTTAAAAAAACATTTTTTAAAAGAAAAAAATTGTTTAAAAAAATATCAGCTCTCTTCTCACTTCAGTGGTGATTTTGTTTTATTTCTTTGGTGGTGTTTTTTTTAAAAAAAGAAAAGAAAAGAAAAACAAACAAAGAAAAAACAGAACCCCAGGAGACCCCCTCACAAGGCCTTCAGAGAATCTCCAGAGACCCTTTCTCAAAGGCTCTGAAAAGATTTCAGCCATTCACAGCCCCACGCCATCCACAATAGTCTCTGTCCTCAACCCCAAACACATCCCCGTGCCCATCTCCAACCCTCATGCCCAACTCATCCCCCATCCTCAATCCTATTCCAAGCTCAAGCCCATCCTTCTGTCCCTATTCCCCAAGCCCTAAAGGACACCTAAAGATCCCTGCCCCTATCATCTCCAAGGGAGCCCCTGCAGAGTGCCCCATAGCCCGTCCATGGCCTCACTGACCAGTGACTTGGCCCACGTTGGCGCATTTGTACTTGCAGTTGATCCAGAAGCCCATGTAGCCAGAGTAGGAGCCCTCCAGGTAGGCCATCCGCCCATCCACCGCACTGAGCACCATCAGGGTTGTGAGGGTGCTGAAGACCAGGGCCCAGCCCCGCAGGATGTACTTTCTGTCCTCCTCCCAGGAGTAGTTTGGGTCTGCTGGGAAGGAATCGAGGACTGGGGGTCAGGATCGGCCTGCATCCTCCTTTGGCCCATCCCTGAGCACAGCCGTGTCTCCATCCACACCCAAGCCTCCCCTTTCACCCCGTTTTCAATCCCCTTCCACCCCAACCCCGATGCCAACCTCATCCCCATCTCCATTCCTGTCTCATCCCCTGTTTTAACTTTGTCTCCAGCACCATTCACAGCCCCACGCCATCCACAATAGTCTCTGTCCTCAACCCCAAACACATCCCCGTGCCCATCTCCAACCCTCATGCCCAACTCATCCCCCATCCTCAATCCTATTCCAAGCTCAAGCCCATCCTTCTGTCCCTATTCCCCAAGCCCTAGCTAGAACCAGCCCCTCTCTGGACCTCATCCCCTTATCTCCTTCGATGTCACAAATCCCAACCCAGGATGCACACAACAATGACACAGGTTCCAGAGGGTGTTCACGAGGCCATGACCCTAACCCCATCTCCAGTCCCAACCCCCATGACACCCATGGTGTCAAAAGAGTGAACACAGGGGATGCACCAAGCCCCTGTGATCCCGCCAACCTTCCCAGCTGGCAAGGGCCCCCCGGGCCTCACTGTTCACTAACTAGACTTCACAGGGTCTCTCCCACACATCAAGAGTTTTCCCACCTGGGTACCTCCACGCAGTCCCACCTGCTCCTCCAACCTGGGCACTCTCCTTCCACCTTTGCCCAGACTGCCTTAATCACCCTCACCTCTAATGTCACTTCTTCCGCATCTCCTTTCTGACACCCCCACCCCCGGCAACTGACCCCCACAGCCTCAGTTCTTAGTCAGGTTGCCCATTAAATGCTCCTATAGTACAATGTGCAATTCCTCACGGACTTGTCAGTCCTTATTCCACTGACTTTTTTCTTTTTTTTAAAAATCTTGACCCAAGGATAGTTTTCCATTGATTTTTAGGGAGAGTGGGAGAGAGAGGGAAAGAGAGAGAGAAATATCGATGTGAGAAGCACGTCGATTGGTTGCCTTCTTCAGGAGCCCAGACCAGGGCCCAGATGGGGGAGGAGCCTGCAACCAAGGTACCTGCCCTTGACTGGAATCGAACCCGGGATCCTTCAGTCCGCAGGCCAACGTTCTGTCCACTGAGCCAAATCAGCTAAGGCTTCACTGATTTTTTTTTTTTCCCTAACCAGTTATCCTGGTCAGATCCCCATTAGGATAGAGGACAAATCTGCACCCCTATCGCCTGCTGCACCCCTATTGCCTGGTACACAGACTTTGCTACCCTATATAGTAAAATCCTAAAATGCCAACAGCAGAATGAATGGTCACTATGACGCACACTGACCACCAGGAGGCAGAAGCTCAATGCAGGAGCTGCCCCCTGGTGGTCATTGCGGAGCTCCCACAGGGGAAGCACAGCAGGAGCCTCTCCCACCTCCACTGCAGGCAGGCAGTAAGGAGCAAAGGGTCCTGGACTGCGAGAACCCCAGACTGCAAGAGGGATGGTCTGACTGCTGGCTTAGGCCCAATCCCAAGCCAGGAGGTGGACATCCCCCAAAGGCTCCCGAACTGCAAGGGAGTGCAGGCCAGGCTGAGGGACAACCCCCCTCCAGTGCACAAATTTTGTGCACTGAGCCTCTAGTAATAATAAAGGGGTGAAATGGATTCGGAGAGGGCCCTGGAAGGGTTGTGGAGTGAGGCAGGTAGGAAGAGGGAATTATAACAGGACCTCTTGGATTCAGAGAGGGCCCTGGAAGGGTTGTGGAGTGAGGCAGGTAGGAAGAGGGAATTATAACTTCAGGACCTCTGGAAACTGTAAGAACTAATCTCAGAGACACTGGTGACTCAACCCTACCTAGTCCTGACCCCACTCTGAGATTGCTCCCTACCCCCCAATCTACCCCTTGCCCTGTCCTGGCACCTCTCTGACCCAGCTATGACCTCTTGGTGTACCAATCCTGACCCTGCCCAGACCCCACACTGAATGCACTCAGACCCAGTCCCAACCCCCATGTCACTCACCCAGGTCTACTGGGCAGGATGCGTCCATGGCCAATGTCCCAACTTCCTGGAACCTCTCCAACTGTCACGGAACCTCCCCGCAGCCCCAGCTTCAGGCCAGCCCGGAGCCCTGAGGCCTGCCTGAGGACAGTCGGAGAGACCAAGAAACACTGAAGAAAGGACAAAGAGGTCAAAGGCCCAAGGGACAGAGCCTGAACCCCAGAGAGAGACCAGCAGACTTCCAGTGGCCACTGAGGTGCCAGGAAAGAAGGTCAGAGGCAGTTGGCAGACTGTTGAGTGCGTCTAGGGACTGGCTTGGCCCTCTACCACCACATGTCCCACAAGTCCCAATTTGGCCAACAGAGCAACCAGGCAGAAGTCCTTACAGAAGATCCCGAAAGTGAGGCCCAAGATGAGACTTCAGACCCTTTGCCCAATACCTCCAGGCTAAGTGCCCAGGACCCTTCACCCATTACCCCCTCTAGCCCGGTCAGCATCCAAGAACCTCAACCCATTCTCCACTCTCCCCGGGTCAGCATGCAAGAACCAACACCCATTCTCCACTCTCGCCGGGTCAGCATCCAGGAACCACCATCCATTCCCCACTCTCGCCGGGTCAGCATCCAAGAACCACCACCCATTCTCCACACTCGCCGGGTCAGCATCCAAGAACATCCACCCATTGTCCACACTCGCCGGGTCAGCATCCAGGAACACCCACCCATTGTCCACACCCGCCGGGTCAGCATCCAGGAACATCCACCCGTTATCCAAGAGACACTGCCCGTCGTCCACACTCGCCGGGTCAGCATCCAGGAACCTCCACCCATTCTCCACATGCGCCGGGTCAGCATCCAAGAACCTTCATCCATCTTGCGCACTCGCCGGGCCAGCATCCAAGAACCTTCATCCATCTTGCGCACTCGCCGGGCCAGCGTCCAGGAGCCATCGCCCATTGACAACAGTCTCTGGGGCAGTATCAGAGAGGCACCATCCCTTGGTAACATTAGCCAAAAGAGTATCCAAGAGACACCATCCACTGTTAACATTGGCCAAACGAGTATCCAAGAGACACCATCCGTTAGCAGCGTTCACCAAGCCAGCCCCCAAGACACACCGCCAGTTACCCCTCTCAACACCCTGACCGTTCAGCCAAGTGTCCAAACAAGTTCCCAAATTCCCAGGTTCAGTATCCCCAGGCCTTCGCTGATGCCCCACACCCCCCACACCAGTCAAACCAGTTTGGGAGACAACTTGACAAGCACCCAGAGTCAAAGTTTAAGGGTTCCAGGCATCAAGTTCCCAAACCGGGCCAGTGTGGACGTCCCCCCTTCAATTACCGACAGCCCTGAGGCCAGCGTGGAAAGCATGGAATCAATTCTCTGGGTCTCCCAGGAGGTGTTCAAAGAATCTTTGTACAACCTCCAAGTCAGCAAAAATTCTCCAGATAGCGACATCCCGCTACACAGCTCCACGGACACCAGCTCTGGCAGGTGAGAGGCAGAGGTCCAGGCAAAAGGCCAGGTTCTGGGTGAGAATTGGAGGGGGGGTAGGGGATGGGGGTGGAGGGAGACAGCAGTCAAAGGACAGGGACCAGAACATGCCTGGCATAGCAGAGATTAGAGGTTGGACCTAGGTGTGGCAGGTCTTAGAAGCTGGTCCTGCAGGCTGGTGATGGGTAGGGCATGACACAGAACCTGGAGATGGGTTTTTGGGGTGGCAGGGCCTGGAAGCTAGATCTGGAGGCAAGGGAGCCTGGAGGGCAGGACCTGGGGGAGACAGGGTATAGAGGATGGACCTAGAGAAGATAAGAGTCTGAAGGCTAGACTGGGTGGGACCGGGTCTGGCAGCTGGACCTGGGATGGTTGGGCTGGGGAGCTGGACGCGGCGCTGACACTGGCGGTGGGCTCTCTGCTGCAGGTATTCGGTCAGGGCTAAACGCAGACATTCACAGCTGCCCCTGGGCACCCGGCTGCTGCACCAGGCCAAGAAGCTCAGCCGCCAGCTGAGCCTGGTGCTGAGCCTGGTGGGCGCGGTGATCATCGGTCTCATCACTCTGGGCCAGCCCTGGGTCCACTTCCAGGTGCCACTGACACTCCCTGGGGGTCCTGCTGACCCCCCGCCCCAAACCATCCCCATCAACACCATCTTCATTGTGCGGTGTTCTGACGTCTCCTGCCTGCATGAGCAAGACCACAATGCTTGTAAGGCCTGCCCTAGACTCCCCATTCCCGGGGCGCGTTTCTCCTCTGTCCTAAGGACCCCTTTCCGCCTTCCCTGGGATGACCCCACTGCCCCGGGTGTGTCCTCTCTGCTCTGCAACGGTCCTCACTACCTCCGGACCAGCCTCCCTTCCCCAGGATGGGGCTCCCTGCTGCAAGACCACCCTCGCTGCCTTGTGTTCATCCTCACCTACATGACCCTGATCCTGCTGTTCCTGATTCTCTTCCTTCCCTAGACTTGCTGGACTCTGCCTGGGCCTTCTTCTTCATTTCCAGCTTCACCGGCTTCTGCCTCTGCCTCATACTCATAGACATCACCTTCTTCACCAAGTCCAACGTGCCCGTGCTGGACTTCTCCAACATCGTCCTCAGCAACCTGACAGGCATGGCGCTGAGATCCTTCCTTTAGGGACACCAAGACCAGGCGAACCTTGCCCGGTGCCTGCCATGACACCCAACCCGCTCCCGCCAAACTCCAACCACATCCCCATCCCATCCCCACCTTCCGTCCCAATTCAAATCCTATCTCTTAACCCAGTGGTCGGCAAACTGCGGCTCGCGAGCCACATGGGGCTCTTTGGCCCCTTGAGTGTGGCTCTTCCACAAAATACCATGTGGGGCGCGCATGTAGTGTGCGATTGAAACTTCGTGGCCCATGCACAGAAGTCGGTATTTTGTAGAAGAGCCACTCAAGGGGCCAAAGAGCTGCATGTGGCTCGCGAGCCGCAGTTTGCCGACCACTG